TTTTTCTTTGGGCTCCCAAATGTTAGATAATTCACACATCGTTTATATATAAAAAAAAAATATATGCTTAATTTATAAGTTTAATGAGCTACTCCTTCTACCACCAATTGGTTTTGAGATGGAACCTCACTTGGGCTTCATCTGATATTTCTCTGTCTTGGTGCGTTTCATCTGATAGGGACCGCACTCGTTTTGTTTGCGATTAAGAACACAAATTTTCCCAAAAATATAAAATAAAACAAAACATGCTGAGAAAGAGAAAAAGAGAATATTACATGTAATTATCACACCACAACTTAAGAGATGTAATTACCCAAACACACACACAAACACAAACAATATTCAAAAGATCAAAATAAAAATAAAAATAAAAAAAATAAAATAGCACATTTTTTACTTTTTTTTCCTTTTTATTCTTTTACAAATTTCATTTTAATTCCACTAAATATATATATAATTTTTCTAATCAAAGACTTCGTGCCCCGAACAAAACCTTCACAACATTATAAAAATCATGATCATATGCCTTTGCCCTGTGGTGCTGGCTTGGGATGATCTTCGTGTACAAATAGAACGCCACACAAGCAATACCCGGCCCAGCCCAAAACACCCAGTGCCCATCCCAAAGATGTCCGCCTCTAACAACGGCAGGCCCAATACACCTAGCTGGATTCATTCCAGCCCCAACATACCCCTTTTGGGCCGTAACAGTAGACGAAACGAACACCAGCAGACCCAACACTATTCCAACTATAACGAAAACCAGCACATGGCCCAACTCCTTAGCCTGCCTATGATCATACGCCATCCAAATCGAAGCAAACAGAAAAATGAAACTACAAAATATCTCTAGCCATAGGGCCTGGGCCGTCCCCAGCCCAATCGTAATGGGTCCATCTGGGCCTGGTGCTACAACTGTTAATGTGCAGCCTCCTAGTGAGAAACTTTGTTCAATTGAGCTACTTACCACTGCCTTAAGTGCGAGAGCACCTAAAACACCTCCTAAACATTGTGCCAATATGTAGACAAAAGCCCTAGACATGGAAATTATTCCGACTAGGCCGGCCGAAAAGGAGATAATCGGGTTTATGTGGCCACCGGAAATCGGATGCACCGCCAGTAAGAGAATCGCGATTATGATTGCCGCCAGTGCCGACAGTATTAGGTTTGGCATTTTGACGTCAGACTCGATTGTTGAGATCACGATTGTGTCGAGCATGAACACGAGAACAGCCGTGCCCAGAAGTTCGCCTATCGATGCTCGCCAAACCTTTTTTTTTTATTGCATCATCAAGAAAATATGTTTTTAGTAAAATGTTCAAAGCACTACAAGAAAATGATAAAATTTAAATGAAAAATTCCAACATAATATATTCCAATAGAGTTCCAAGAACTACTATAATAGATAATTTGATGCTATTATTTTCGTTAGATTTTTTTCAAATTGATTACTGCTGTGAAGATATCCCGTGGGAATGAACTTTTCACTGAAAATTCCTATCAATTTTGGCGATTCCAGCGAGATTTTCGGTTGAAATATGACCCGAAATAAAATTTTCAGAAGAAATTGCACATTCTAACAACAGTTGGAAAAGTCGTCATTGGAATCCTCGAATTTGAACTAATATTTCAAAAGGAAAATTTAATTCCAACGAAATGTATTTAACGTTGATTTCCGATGAAGAAAATCAACAGAAGCTATACTAGTGAAATATACATGAATATTTTTTATTGAAACATTTTACCGTCGGATTTTACTTTAGAATAGTGAAAAGTTGGTAATTAATTAGCTTATATCAACATCCTTTCAAATGATGGCGGCAAGGCAACACTTGCAAATTTATACTTACATCCAAAGAAAAGAGTTCATTGAGTCCCAGCATCTCACTCAATAAGGGAGACTTCTGATGTTTCTTTTCAGGCTCTGAACTCCAATTTCGTACCCTGCGAACGTAAAAAAAAAAAACGCGACGTGTCAAAACGAAAGCAGGCGAAAAAACGAATAAACGAAATATTTGGGGGTGAAAATGGAAATACATAAAACTTGCCCCGGAGTCGAGGAGACAGGCTGAATCTTGGTTCCATTATTTTGAGATTCTTCATCATCCACATTATGAAAATGTGTACTATTATTTGCAGCCATTTTTTTTTTATTTAAATTAATTATTACCTCTCTTTTTGGTGTATACTTGTTTATGGCTTTGAATATATAGATATATATATCTATAGATATATATATGCACCCAAGCAAGTTGAATTTCTTTCAACTAAATTAAAGTAGATTAAATATATGTTGTTATTACTAACAAGAGTTGAGATTCAGTTGGATATTTATGGATGTCACACTTGAGTAACAATTAATGTGCATCTCTATCTTTAGTTTTATTAAATATAATATATTATTAATTTAGAGGTGTAAACGAGCTCGAGCTCCTAATAGTCTGATACTCGAGTTCGGGCTCCAGCCTTTATCGAGTCGAGCTCGTAAGTTCACAAGTCGATAAACGAGCTCGAGTGAGCAGGACTTTAAGAAATTACATAAAAAATCTCTCTCATCTCGATCCTTAACGAGATAGACTCTGTTCATCTCGTCGAGTTAGACCTCGAGCTCGGTTTGTTTAACTCGAGTCAAACTAGCTCCGTTCACACATTAACTAAACGAGATCGAGCTGATCACGAGCCGCTCGTTTGGTTTAGCTGTTTTATTTCATATCAATATATATTGTATTGACCAGGGGCGTAGCCAGAAATATTTTTTACCCTGGGCTGCTAGAACCGATTTGTTAGGGAGTATAACTCAGTTCGACTCGTAAAAAATTAATCGTGATTCATTCATATAATAAAACATAAAATGAGAACTTAGTTCAAACGAGCGGAGCTTAGTTGATTACACTCAATTTATTAAAAGTTTCGAGCCAAACATGTTCATTTATTAGACGAATACAAGTTCGAACACGATGTACTCGACTCAATTTGGCTTCAATGATATTTTGCTTAAATTGTGGAATTCCAAATGTCGTTTCATTGGTCTGCTATGCAAATTAATGATTTTAAATTATCTATTTCGCATATTCAAATATAATTTATTTAAAAGTTAATAAGTTGATGTATTTTACATATAAACTGATATAAATAATATAAATTAATCGTGTATTAAATCAAATATTAAAAAATAAAAAAAAAAAGAAGAAAAAATGACAAAGTAAGCTATAACCACATAAAAATACATATGAAAAGTTTAAGTCATGTCCAAAAATATGTATAATATTTTGGTTTAATATCAATTATTTTAAATGAATACGGACTAAATAATTATATCATGAATTAAATTAATGAATTAAATTAATAAAACATGGGTTAAAATATTTTTTTTTTACTACTACATATTTATATTAGACAAAAAATTAAGACTGGGCTGGAGCCCGGGTGAGCCACCCCTGGCTCCGCCTGACCTTTCAAATATGTTGATTTCTCATTGGGGCCTTTACTAATTGATTTAATTAATTAACAGAAGCTTATTATTTGTTCATTATTGAGAATTAAAAGAGGCGGGGCCATGCAAATGGTCAACCAATTCCATTATTTCGTGATCTTTTTTTCATTATAATGTGACTTTTCTCACTTTATCAATATTTCCCACCTAAATAATAATAATTGAGGATGGTCTGACTGTCACATTAGAAAAATATTATTTCAGATTTTATTAATTAATCATTTTTTATTTTCGTAATTTGTCGTTGTTTGGCTTGAATAAACACAATTATATTAGTTACTTTTTATTTGTTTTCTGATGTATATATGTTTTCTCGTTGAATAAAATAAAAATTACCCCCCCCC